TCATCTGGTGATGAGTGGTTGTTTCTACCTTTTGTTGTGAATAGCGCTGCAGTGAACACTGATGTCTAAGTCTGAGTTTCTGCTTTCAAGTTTTTGGGTATATGCCTGGGAATGGAATTGTCAAATTATGTAATAGTTCTACTGTTACTTTTTTTAGGAGCTGCCACACGTTTCCACAGTAGCAGGGCCATTTTACATTCCCACTAGTGATGGATCAAGTTTCCCAGTTCTCAGCACCCTTGCCAACTGTGGTTATTTTCTAGTTTTAAATGTAGCCATTCTCAGACTAACAGAACTCATTGTCCTCAGGTTGGAACCCACTCATCACTGACCTTTCCAAGGCTGTAAATGACCTAGAAGGGGCTGGGCCATCTTTCTGCCTCAGATGACCCACCCTTGGGTGGCAGCCCTGCTCTCTAGGGACGATACCATCAGAGCTAATGGGAATGCCATGGCATCTCACCAGGGTTTAGACCGGCTTCTGGATGGCTTTGATACTGTACAACAAACATTTTTATTTGCTCAAGGTTATGTAAGTCCACAGTCTTTGAGACTATTATTAAAAAGTTCTCTGCCATTGGCAAATAGGTGGAGATAAAATTTTATACTTTATAATGACAAAGACTGGGTAAGTGTATTTTAGCTGATACTTATTACCCCCAGTTTGTGCATATTTATTAATCAGTTGCTTTGAAATTGATCCTGTTGATTCTGACTCATGATGGACCCTCCACCAATAGGTGTTAGGGTAGAATTGCCCTCATTGGTGCCCCTGAGGACTTGTACCTCAACCTTTAATTTAGCAATTGAATATGTCAACTGTTTACTTAATCGGGGACTTCACTTCTCCTTGCCTATTGGCCTTTTCTCTGTCTACCAAGATGAGATTCTCCAAGTCTCAAAACAAGTGTGCCTCAACCTCTGATGGCATCTTCTACAAGTTTCTGTGGAGACCTTTTAGCCAAGACTAATTTAAAGACTTTAAGACTTATAGTGCTTAGTTTACACCTAGAGACTAGCTCTGGCTGAAAACCAACCAAAAGGAGACAGGGGTGGGGCGAGGGTAAGCCTTGTTGCTACCCCCTGCAGACAGGTGCGAGTCCCCTTAGTAACAAGTGCCATTTTCTACAAAACACCAACATGTTATTTTCTACTTCCTTCCAAATTCTACAAAAGATATTCATAAGCTTTTTCTTTGGTGGTTACCATCTAGTGCTTAAAGGTTTAATTTGGAGGCTTCAAGATAGTGCCAGATAAATGAAGCCTGACAGGCAGCTGTAGGTCCCTTCCCAGTGAATGGAAAGTGTAGGCCTTCAGGGGACTCTGCCCCTTAGTGGACGATGGCAGCTGCTGACGGTAGATAGTGTTGCCCTCATGATCAGCTAAGCAAGCCCTTCATTCTAGTCACTACGAGGTAAATCCAGCTTCCAGGTCCAGTAAAAGTCAGATACTTTTTAAATAAATATATTATTGGTGTTGTCTGCTCTGATTCATAGGGACCCATGCACAGCAGAGTGGAAGCTGGTGCTGTCCTCACATTCTGGCTGTTGCCTGTTGGTGCAGGGATTTGATGCCTGTCCAGCAACTCCAGGCAAAGGAACAGTGCTACACGCTCTCCAGTACACCTCACTGAGAGTACTCAGACTAAAGGGACCTTCATGGTGTAACAGTTAGCTGGTTCATTACCAAAGGCTGGCAGTTCGAAACCCACTTAGCGTGGCTCATGGGAGAAATACCTGGCAACATAGTACCATAAAGATGATTTTCCTATTCTTAATAACGCATGTAACCGCCGCTGGCTGAAAATCGCCTGTGACTTCATCCATAGCCACTGGTGAGAGTCAGTGCCCAGAGCCATCAGGGGCTTTAAGCTCGTTGCCCACTGCTGTGGTGTGGACAGCT